ACCCATATCACCTGTGTTTAACAATCAGGGCGGAAGTGGATGTTTGGTGCCCCTATTAAGACACTGTTTGGGGTCAGCACCGCGGCTCAATAGGCTAATCCTCCGCCTGCGGCGCCGGCACACTGGGTTCTAGTCCCGGTTGGGGCGCCAGATTCTGTCCCGGTTGCCCCTCTTCCAGGCCAGCTCTCTGCTATGGCCTGGGAGTACAGTGGAGGATGGCCCAGGTGCTTGGGCCTTGCACTCCGTGGGAGACCAGGAGAAGCACCTGGCTCCTGCCATCGGATCAGTGCAGTTCACCGGCTGCAGTGTGCCAGCCACAGCGGCCATTGGAGGGTGAACCAACGGTAAAGGAAGACCTTTTTCTCTGTCTCTCTCTCTCTATCCACTCTGCCTGTCAAAAAAAAAAAAAAAAAAGACACTGTTTGGGATGCTCACATCCATATCAGATCGCGTGGTTTTGAATCCCAGCTCTGCTTTTGATCCAGCTTCCTGCTAATGCACACCCTGGGAGGCAGCAGGTGGGGGCTGGAGTACTTGTGCCCCTGTCCCCCAAATGAGAGACCCAGATGGGGTTCCAGGTTTCTACATCTGGCATAGCCCAGCTCTGGCAATTGTGGGTATCTGGGAAGTAAACAGTAGATGGACTCTCTCTCCCCTCCCCATTGCTCACTCTTTCTGTCTCTCTTGCCACTACCTTCTAAATAAATAATCTTTTAATTTAATATGAATAAATAAAAATCTGGGTGATGTTTCCAACAAGACAGGTGAAAGTTTGGTAAGAAACAGGAAACTGCATATACCCCATGTATCGCCCACAGAAGTGCTTATTAATCAATTTTAAAAGAAAAAAGAATAATTTAAAAGTGGAGAAAATTGATGAACACCACACTAAACAAACAATAAACATCTGTGTCATGGATAATGGAACAAAGCCACAGTGCACACCTCATGACGGATGCACTGAGAAGAACATCATGTTTCTGTTGCAATAACAAAATACCTGAGGCTGGCACTTTATAAAGAAAAATGAATCATTTAGCTCACAGTTTGCGAAGCTCAAAGTCCAAGATCAAGTGGCCCCATCTGTTTGGCCTCTGGTGAGGGCCTGCCTGGCTCCATCACAACATGGCAGGGGGTGAGAAGTGCTATTGCTCTTCGGATATATTCATGAAAATATTTAAGGGTTAAGGGACATGGAACTTACTCTCAAAGGATTCAGAAAAAGATGTGTCTTTATATATGCAGGCATGTGTGTGTGTATACATGCATACACACACACACACACACACACAAATACTAAGCCAAATATGAAACTTGATAATAATTGATAAATCTGTGTGCTCCCCTTCTTTCAAATAAGGTGAAAATGAAAGTGGAGATGGGAACAGGTCTCAATCCCCCTCTGAATTCCTAACATCAGAAAGTCAGAAGTCCTTTCAGCAGGTCTTAACAGGAGCAAACTGAACTATTTGGAGGGTCTACATATACCCAGCTAGATGAACTGAAATGACTCAAATCATCTTCATCTTTTCCCTTTGTTTCCACAACTGAAAGGCATACTCTGTCATGTGGCAACTGTCAATACAAAAATGAGAAATACTCTAACCCCTTACCACTTTTCATAGAAACATAAATTCTCCAAAATCTGGGCAAAGGTAAAATTAAGTATTAAACAATATGTACTTTTACCCCAACACTCCGTTAATTAGGGAAGACTAAACTTTTGCTAGTGACATTTATCTATCAACAAACCTTTAAGTTTTATGGTATTTTAGGCCAGCGCCGTGGCTCACTAGGCTAATCCTCCACCTGAGGCGCTGGCACCAGTCCCGGATGGGGCGCTGGGTACTAGTCCCAGTTGTTCCTCTTCCAGTCCAGCTCTCTGCTGCAGCCCAGCAGGGCAGTGGAAGATGGCCCAAGTGCTTGGGCCCCTGCACCCACGTGGGAGACCGGGAGGAAGCACCCGGCTCCTGGCTTCAGATCAGCGCAGTGCCGGCTGAGGCGGCCATTAGGGGAGTGAACCAACGGAAGATCTTTCTCTCTGTCTCTCCCTCACTGTCTATAACTCTCTCTGTCTCTCTCTCTCTCACTAACTCTGCCTGTCAAAAAATAAATAAATAAAATAAAAATAAAAAAATAAAAAAGGTTTTATGGTATTTTATGTCCTTAAAGCATTTTATGTCCTTAAAGTAATCCTATAATTATAGGAATAGTTTCTTCCATTTATAAACAAACTAGATTGAAGATCTGTAGAACTTATTTGTCTATTTTATCAACATTGAGCACCATTTTATAAATTTTTATAGCTCATGAATCTATATATTTACTGTTTAATTTTCTGGTGGCATTAAGCTGAAGTTTGCATATGATGAAGGCAATAACTGTCTATACAAGATGCTTAGTAATTAATTTATTTTTAAAGCATTTATTGAATGCTTTAAATGTGTCAAGCACATTGATAGTTACTTAGAGATCAGACAGTAGCATAAATTAGACATGTTGGCCAATCATATATATTTTTTATTTAAACTAAGCCACAAAGACACAGAAAACCTGACCAGACCAATAACCACGACAAAGATTGAATCAGTCAGTAATCAAGACCCTCCAGAATAAGAGAGGGAGGAGGAAGAGGGGTGGGAGTGTAGGTGGGAGGGCAGTTACAGTGGGAAGAATGACCATGTTCTTACAGTTGTACTTACAAAATGCATGAGTTTGAATTCCTTAAATAAAAGGTTTCTGGAGGCGGAGGGAAATCCCAACAACAACAAAAAAAGCCCAGAACCAGATGGCTTCACTGCTGAATTCTACCAGACTTTCAAAAAAGAGCTAATCCTTGAGGCTGGTGCTGTGGTGCAGTGGGCTAAGCCTCCGCTCAAGGTGCCAGCATTCTATATGGATGCCGGTTCATGTCCCGGCTGCTCCTCTTCAGATCTAGCTCTCTGGTATGGCCTGAGAAAGCAGCAGAAGATGGCCCAAGTGCTTGGGCCCCTGCACCCATGTGGGAGACTCCTAAGAAGTTCCTGGCTCCTGGCTCCTGGCTCCTGGCTCCTGGCTCCTGGCTCTGGACTGGCCCAGCTCTGGCCATTGTGGCAATTTGGGGAGTGAACCAGCAGATGGAAGAGCTTTCCCTCTGTCTCTCCCATTTATATACTGAAGAATAAGAATTATATAATTATATCAATAGGTGCAGAGAAAGCACTATAAAATACAACACACTTTAATGATAAGGAAAAAAACTTAAACAAATTGGGTATAGAAGGAACACTGCTGAACACATTCAAGGCAATATACAACAAACCCACAGCCAGCATCATATTAAAAGAAGAAAAGCTGGAAGCATTTCCACTAAGATCTAGGACATTCATTCTCCCCATTACTATTCAATATAGTTCTGAAAATTTTAGCCAGAGCCACTAGGCAAGAAAAAGAAATCAGGGGCCGGCGCTGTGGTGTAGTGTGAGGCTGTCACCCGCAGTGCTGGCATCCCATATGGGCGCCAGCTTGAGTCCCAGCTGCTCCACTTCCGATCCAGCTCTCTGCTATGGCCTGGGAAAGCAGCAGATGATGGCCCAAGTCCTTGGGCCCCAGCACCCACATGGGAGACCCAGAAGGAGCTCTTAGCTCCTGGCTTCTGATCAGTGAAGCTCCGGCCATTGCAGCCATCTGGGGAGTGAACCAGCGGATGGAAGACCTCTCTTTCTCTCCGCCTCTGCCTCTCTGTAACTCTGCCTTTCAAATAAATAAATAAATCTTTTAAAAAAACAAAAGCATTCATATACACTGACAATACCATGTCTGAGAAAGAACTTGTAAGATCAGTCTAATTCACAATCACTACAAAAAAAAATTTTAAATATCCTGGGTAAATTTAACCAAGGATGTGAAAGATCTCTATAATGAAAATTAGAAAACAAGGCAAAAATAGAATAGACACACAAAAAAGGGAAAATCTGCCACATTTGTAGGCTAAAAGAATTAATATCATCAAAATGCCCACACTATTCAAAGCAATTCACAAATTCAATTCAATCCCAATCAAATTACCAAAGACATTCTTAGACCTTGAAAAAATAATCCTAAAGTTCATATAAAAACACAAGAGACCCCAAATATCTAAAGCAATCTTAAACAATAAAAACAAAGCCAAACGCATTACAATACCAGATTTCAAGACATACTAGAAGACTGTTATAATCAAAACATTCTGGTACTGGCACAGAAATACAGATGTGGCTCAGTGGAACAAAATAGAAACTCAAAAAATTAATCCACACACCTAAAACCAACTGATCACTGACAAACGAGTTAAAATTTCTCCCTGAAGAAAGGACAATTACTTCAACAAGTGGTGTTGTTATATACACATGGTAGAATATTATTCAGCCATAAAAAAGAAAACCCATTTTCATAATAAAATGGACACAACTGGTAACCACTGTGCTTAGTGAAATAGGCCAGACCCAAAAGAAAAAATATCACATTTTCTCTGATATGTAGTAGCTAATATTTAGAGCACAAAAAAATTTAATGTATATGAGTAAAACTGACATCTTGGGATTTGTTTATTGTTTATAGCCCTTGTCTACACTCCTATGGAACAGTGGTCTTTCTACATTTTTTGTTGGACTCTTTCTTTGGTGGAGGGATAAATCTCTTATTATAAAGTAAATTAAAAATATATTAGCACAAAAATTAAAATAAAGAAAGGAAGGAAAATGGAGGGTGGGATGGGGAGAGGGATGTAACATATGCTTAGAAATGTATCTGTTCTCTTTATATTAATAAAAATGATACAAACAATAAAATTGATTTTTATTTATTTTCACTTTATTTGAAAGGTAGAGAGACAGATAGAAAGAAATCTTCTTTGTCTACAAAATGTCTACAAAAGTCAGGGTTGGGCCAGGGTGAACCCCGGAGCCAGGAACTCAATGTAGGTCTCCTACCTAGGTGGCAAAGACCAGGTACTCAAGTCATCATTAAGAGTATGCATTAGAGTGCTTGCTTCGGCAGCACATATACTAAAAATTGGAACGATACAGAGAAGATTAGCATGTGTGCAAGGATGATACGCAAATTGATGAAGCGTTCCATATTTTTTTAAAAAATTTTTTTAAAAAAGAGTGTGCATTAGCAGGAAGCTTAATTATAAGAAGAAGAGCTCTGTCTTGAGCCAGAAACTCTAGTATGGGATGCAAGCATCCCAAGGGGTGTTATACCCACTGCAAATACCCTCCCTGAGACAGCTCTATCCAAAGTCAGCATTAGCAGGACTTCCATACATCTGCTACTTCATAAAGGCAATGAAAACACTGATAAATTACCAAAGATAATTTTTCAGAACTCTGGAAATGAACCAAAGGCTTTAAGCAACTACTAGTTATTAAAACAAATAAAAAGGGCCAGCACCATGGCTCACTTGGCTAATCCTCTGCCTTCGGCGCCAGAATCCCATATGGGCGCCGGATTCTGTCCCATTTGCTCCCCTTCCAGTCCAGCTCTCTGCTGTGGCCTGGGAAGGCAGTGCAGGATGGCCCAAGTGCTTGGGCCCTGCACCCGCATGGGAGACCAGGAGGAAGCACCTGGCTCCTGGCTTCGGATCGGCGCAGCACGCCGGCTGTAGCAGCCATTTGTGGGATGAACCAATGGAAGGAAGACCTTTCTCTCTGTCTCTCCCTCTCACTGTCTGTAACTCTACCTGTCAAATAAATAAAATAAAAAATCTTAAAAAAAAGAAAAACGAAACTACTGGAACTTGGTGACAACAAGAAGATCTGCAGTGTGTTAGCCTGGCCCATCTACAGGGTAGTCGTGAGAATCAGTAGCCTCATAGCCTTGGAGGGTAAGTCAGGTTTGGAGCTCTTTGCAAAATCCCATTCCCAGAAACATGTTTCCATTTTAGCCAACCCACAGTTCTCCAGAAAAATCCCATTCACATGGGAACTGTCATTATTTGTCCTGACTCCGAAATCAACTAACCCCACAGGAAAAGTCCTACCCCAGAGGCATCTGGCAAAAATAATCAGTAACAATTTTTAATAACACAGTTGCCTGAGGCTACAATACTAGCTGGGGATAACAAGAGCCCAGCCAAAAATTTAACAGGAAGATCTGTTGAACAGATTCCATGCTCTCACGTATTTTAATGGAAAACTAACCTATAAACCTAAAAAGCTCAATAAACTCCGTAACATAAATTCAAAAAGAGTCGCAACATCACACGGTCAAGCTCCAAATGTCTAACACAAAGTGAGGACCTTGAACGAAGCAAGAAACAATAATTCAGTATGCATAAGGAGTCCTCAGTGAGATTATTGCTGGCTTCTTGCCCAAAGCTAAGGATACCAGAGGGAAAATAGCATTTTAAAGTGATGAAGAAAAAAAATGCTAAATAAGAATTCTCAATCCAGCAAACTATCCTTCAAATGAGGAGAAATTAAAGCATTTCCAGGTTAAACAGAAAATTTTCTGCTAGCAGACATGCTGTATAAGAAATACTAGAGTCTTTTATGCTGAGAAGAATGGACAGAAGACAACTCCAAGTTACCCCAAGACATTAGGAACACCATTACAGATAACTATGAGAGTAAATTATAATTTATAAAGATGTACTTTGTATGATATATTAACAGCACAGAGGATGGAAAATATCAGAGCAAATTTTTTAATAGAAAACTTTTATTTAATAAATATAAATTTCAAAAGTACAACTTTAAGATTACAGTGGTTCTTCCCCCCATATCCACCCTCCCACTCACAAACCACCCCATCTACTACTCCCTTTCCCATCTCATTCTTCATTAAGATTCATTTTTAATTATCTCTACATACAGAAGATCAACTCTATACTGAGTACAGATTTCAACAGTTTGCACCCACACAGACACACAAAGTATAAAGTACTGTTTGAAGACTAGTTTTACTGTTAATTCTCATAGTACAACACATTAAGGACAGAGGTTCTACATGGGGAGCAAGAGCACAGTGATTCCTGTTGTTGATTTAACAAATGACACTCTTATTTATGACTTCAGTTATCACCTGAGGCGCTTGTCATGAGTTGCCAAGGCTATGGAAGCCTCTTGAGTTCACAAACTCCAACCTTATTTAGACAAGGTCGTAGTCAGAGTGGAAGTTCTCTCCTCCCTTCAGAGAAAGTTACCTCCTTCTTTGATGACCCGTTCTTTCCACTGGGATTTCACTCACAGAGATCTTTCATTTGGACTTTTTTTTTTTTTTTTTTTTTTTGCCACAGTGTCTTGGCTTTCCATGCCTGAAATACTCTCATGGGCTTTTTAGCCAGATGTGAAAGCATTAAGGGCTGATTCTGAGGCCAGAGAGAGCAAATTTTCTTTACACTATTGTAATTAAGTGAAAATTATTCTGAATTGTTTTAAGAAGTTATTGTAAAACACTATGAAAATAATTCCAAAAAGTACAGTAAAAGAAACAACAAAAATATTTAAATAGTGTGCTAAAAAAATTAAAGCTACCTGGCATTTTTTAAAACAGCAATGGAGGAACATAGGAACAAAAAGACATGAGAGTGGCCGGTGCCGCGGCTCAATAGGCTAAGCCTCCACCTAGCAGCGCCGGCACACCAGGTTCTAGTCCCAGTTGGGGCGCCGGAGTCTGTCCCGGTTGCCCCTCTTCCAGGTCAGCTCTCTGCTGTGGCTATGGAGTGCAGTGGAGGATGGCCCAAGTCCTTGGGCCCTGCACCCCATGGGAGACCAGGAGAAGCACCTGGCTCCTGCCTTCGCATCAGCGCGGTGTGCCAGCTGCAGTGCGCCAGCCGTGGTGGTCATTGGAGGGTGAACCAACGGCAAAAGGAAGACCTCTCTCTCTGTCTCTCTCTATCCACTCTGCCTGTTTAAAAAAAAAAAAAAAAAAAAAAAAGACATGAGACATAAAGATAGCAAATAGCAATGTTGTAGATGTAAATCTTATCATATTACTTTATTTTGATTTTTATCTTTTAAAGATATTTTCAAAAGAAAACATAAGGTGCAGTGTGATAGGGATCCACTTCTCCAAGACTCTCAGAGATCCTGGCTGGCTCCCCTCGGGCTTACAGGATCACTATAGCAGCTCGAAACACTGCATCTAGACATGACAGTAACCTAAAGGCAACTTCCAAAGCACACCTTTTGTTAAGAGTGAATAATTTACTCCTTCAAGCTCCTAAGAAGTTCTCCATTTTGTGTCACTGGTCAGAATTGCAGTACACTGCTGTGGCCTAGGTAGTCAGAAAGACCAGCATGATTTACTTGGACCAATCAACATTTAACCCCAGAGATGACCATTGCTGAACATGGCTAATGGAGAAAAACAATACTAAGCAAAACCCAGGTTTCAGAAAAAGCTTGCTATGTTTTGTAGACAACCAACTGTAGTTGTCACATGTTTACACTGCTCTTAACAGTTTTCCACTTTAGATAGAATCTACTGAATTTTTGAGATGACTTGAAATTTAATTTTTTTTCATGTCACTATAACTAACCTTCTCCCAATATTGTTGTATCATGAATGTTGGTTATAAGACATAGCACTTATATTATCATGACCACGTAGGCTCATTCTCCAAGCTAAAGTTTACTTTATAATTACTTTTTCTCAGCTTTATGCTTTTCCTGTAGCTCACAGCTGCTTAGACCCTTTTGTAATTTTCTTTGTTTTCTGTGACCAATTTTCCCCAAAGACCTGTCAATATTTTTCCCAAATATTCAAACACTTTAAGTCATCTGTCAGTTGCCCTTTCATCCCCTTGAGAGAACTCCCTCCCACAGCCCTTTATCTTTCTACTATAATTTGGACTTGTTGCTGTCTAGCAACAGAATAACCTCCATTCTTGGAATTTCCTTTCTCCTCCTCTAATACTGAATCCTCAATTCCAGGATCCCTTGTTTTCTTTTTCTTAGCTATTTCCTCATTTTTTTTTGAAGCACACATATTTTTTTTAAAAAGATTTATTTAATTTATTTGAAAGACAGAGTTACAGAGAGAGGTACAGCCAGAGAGAGGTCTTCCATCCACTAGTTCACTCCCAAAATGACAGCAACCGCCCAGAGCTCAGCTGATCCAAAGCAAGGAGCGAAGACCTTCTTCCAGGTCTCCCACATGGTTACAGGGGCCCAAGGAATTGGGCCATCTTCCACTGCGTTTCCAGGCCACAGCAGAGAGCTGGATCAGAAGTGGAGCAGCCAGGACTCAAACCAACATCCATATGGGATGCTGGCACTGCAGGGCAGGGCTTTAACCCACTGCGCCACAGCGCCAGTCCCCACATACTCTTTAAACGTTATCCGAGCTGGCACCGCGGCTCAATAGGCTAATCCTCCGCCTTGCGGCGCTGGCACACTGGGTTCTAGTCCCGGTCGGGGCGCCGGATTCTGTCCCGGTTGCCCCTCTTCCAGGCCAGCTCTCTGCTGTGGCCAGGGAGTGCAGTGGAGGATGGCCCAAGTACTTGGGCTCTGCAACCCGTGGGAGACCAGGAAAAGCACCTGGCTCCTGCCTTCGGATCAGCACGGTGCGCTGGCTGCGGCGGCCATTGGAGGGTGAACCAACGGCAAAGGAAGACCTTTCTCTCTGTCTCTCTCACTGTCCACTCTGCCTGTAAAAAAAAAAAAAAAAAAAACTTATCCTTAACATATTTGGTCCCTGAATACTTTAAAGCGTAGTTACATGAATTTATTCTGCTTCACTTGGAAATTTCCCAGATTTATAGCAATTTTAATAATAGTACATGAAACATTTACCTTTATCCAGATTCACTTATGAACACTTTTTTTCATTTTCCTTAGCATTTGCTTTTACTTCCTCTTTCTTGGATGTAGAAATGATTTTAATAAAGGATTTGACTAAGGAAAAAGAGGAGGCAAGAACAACCACTGGACCAACAAAACCCTGCGCCGAGCTGCTGCATCCCCACACCTAGAGCTTCCCCACCATCACCATGCTGGAGAGAAATGCTGACGGGAATGCTAAAGGAGGTAAGGCCAAGGTGAAGGACAGACCACGGAGAAGACCCAGAAGGTTGTCTGCTAAACCAGCTCCTCCACAAGCCAGAATCCAAGCCTAAAAAGACCCCTGCGTAAAAGGGA